ATGAGCTTGCAATTATGTCTTGAGATAGGACAGTAGGTATCAATATGAAAGACATAGAATGGCCTTTCCTAATGTGAAAGACAACTTGTGCATGATGTCAAATACTAATGCTGCAGCACTGGCAATATGATGGCAATCCTTCAACCTCATCCCCATAACATAGATAGGGCCAAGGACACCATAAACTACATGTCAACTACAAACTTTTTTAAATGAAAAAGCAGACACTACAAACTCTTCTAATAAAAAAGCACACACTACAAACTTTTGTAGTCTCAAAAAGCGGACACTACAAACTTTTCTAATGAAAAAGCGCAACACTACAAACTTTTGTAGTCTCAAAAAGCGGACACTACAAACTTTTCTAGTAGTCTCAAAAAGCGGTCACTACAAACTTTGTAGTCAAGATAACCTTTTGACTCTAACCTTAACTATGTAGTCTAAGTCCATGCTTTTGTAGTCTTTTATAGTGTATCAGTAAACTGTGTAGTCTAAGTCCGACTTTTTTGTAGTCTATCAGTAAACTTGGTAGTCTATATCTGATTCTTATAGTACAGGATGCACCTTCCTTTTTTGGTCATTTTTCCCACGATACAATAATTGTAGCCCTTTCTTTTAGCTTTCTGAATATACTGAAATCATGTTATTTGGTTTTGTTTTTATAGAGAAAAACACAAAAAAAAAAAAAAAACACGATGCTTTTGAAATTCCTTTACCTAATATCTCCACAACGGGAGCACTTCAGAACATAATTCAAACAGATTCGGGAAGCTACAGTGCAGGGCTACAACTTTCGTTTTTTGACCATTTTTCGTAATTGGCCATGTGACCACCCTCCAGGGAAGCCCATTGCATGGACCCTGACATGTGGGATACATTTGAAAAATCACAATGAAATACCCAGGAATACATTTGAAAAATCACAATGAAATGCCCAGGGCTACATTTGAAATTTTGCAATGAAATACCCAGGGATACATTTGAAAAATCGCAATGAAATGCCCAGGGCTACATTTGAAATTTTGCAATGAACTACCCAGGGTATCTATTGAAAAATCGCAATGAAATGCCCAGGGCTACATTTGAAATTTTGCAATGAAATACCCAGGGATACATTTGAAATTTTGCAATGAAATGCCCAGGGCTACATTTGAAAAATTGCAATGAAATGCCCAGGGCTACATTTGAAATTCTGAAATACCCAGGGTATCTATTGAAAAATCGCAATGAAATATCCAGGAATACATTTGAAAAATCACAATGAAATGCCCAGGGCTACATTTGAAATTTTGCAATGAAATACCCAGGGTATCTATTGAAAAATCGCAATGAAATATCCAGGAATACATTTGAAAAATCACAATGAAATGCCCAGGGCTACATTTGAAATTTTGCAATGAAATACCCAGGGTATCTATTGAAAAATTGCAATGAAATACCAAGGGTATCTATTGAAAAATCGCAATGAAATACCCAGGACTACATTTGAAAAATCGCAATGAAATACCCAGGGCTACATTTGAAAAATCGCAATGAAATACCCAGGGATACATTTGAAAAATCGCAATGAAATGCGCCAGGTATCCATTGAAATTTTGCAATGAAATATCCAGGGATACATTTGAAAAATCACAATGAAATACCCAGGGATACATTTGAAAAATCGCAATGAAATGCCCAGGGTGTCTATTGAAAAATCGCAATGAAATACCAAGGGTCTCTATTGAAAAATCGCAATGAAATATCCAGGGCTGCATTTGAAATTTCGCAGAAAATGCGCTGGGTATCTATGGAAAATTCACTATGAAATACCCAGGCCTACATTTGAAATGCCTTTCAAAAAATCCTAAGCATTATAGATATGGCCTCTAGGCTTAAGTCTAAGTTATAGAAATGACCCTCTAGGCTTGGGTCTAGGTTATAGAAATAAAGTGGTAGCCACTAGTGCTATGAAGGCGTCGTCACTGGAACAGATAATGGTGGATCGGTTGTTCATTTTGCCCGACCATAAATATTTATATCTAGTTCTTGTAACCCAAGTCGACGAATGATGACTCTCTTCCTTGCCTGTGGTTGGCTTACAAAATCCGATGGCAAATGCAGAGTACGTTTGAGTGCTTTTGCTGATGCTCACATTTATCCACGAGACCAGGCGATAACTCGTACCAAAAAAAAACGCTCAAGCGCGTTATAGCACGTACTTAACAAGCTCCCCTATGCATCCCGCCACCGTCTATAACACATACACAGATAGATGCTGGTAATACAATTCCAAAAACGCGTCGATCGCGGCTGACGTGAATGTTAACGTTGATGACGGACCAGTGGCCTCAGCACCCTCATCGGAGATGAAGCTCAATTAACATAAGGGAAAACGGAAAACTCCTTCCAGGACGAAATACGTCCAGAAGGCGGACCGTTGTGTTCGTCCTGTGTTCGTCCTGAGTCCAAGAAGCAACAAGTACTGTGGGGCGCTGGAGATACCTCGTAATGAGCGT